TAATTAGTATCAAGGCTGCCAAACTCCTCAGTCTGTATTTGGAAAAATTTATCCCTTTACCTACCTCTTCCTTTTGGCCCGCTTCAGATCTTTGGCTTTATAATTCAGAATTTGAGCAAAACTTACCTCACTACAAATTCTATCTCGCTCAATCAAGAGATAAGAGAGGAGTTAGGTTGGCCGGCGATGTTCCGACTATATCTAAGCGTAGAGAGACAACCTAATACTTGGACACTACACAAGTTTGCCAGAGTCTCATTACTCTAACGCGACCAATATTGACGCCGCACTGTGCACACAACACAACTTGGTGCACAGCACACGATGTTGGCCCATGATGGGCCCTGGCCCTAACATGGGCCCTGGCACCAACATGGGCCCTGGCACCAACATGGGCCCTGGCACCAACATGGGCCCTGGCATCAACATGGGCCCTGGCACCAACATGGGCCCAGGCACCAACATGGGCCCTGGCACCAACATGGTTCATTTGTGACATCAACAGTGCTGGGGTCAGCGAAAATTATTATGAAAGAAAATGTATGGCGTCGTCTGTTGTTGTAAACATTTGGAGAGAAACATCATTGCTAATAATGAAATGTTATCATTACGAATGAAACAGCAGCCTTGGTGTTCAAAATTCACTCGAGCTGTTTGTGATGACGATGACGTGAACTTCGTATTTAATTTAATCTTGCTGCACCTTATAAACGAGGATATTCTAGAGCTTAACTTACATCGGCTTAAACTTGATCTTCACATTCCACTGATTTCTTCTATAAATTTCGACCAAATCAAATAGAGGAAACCTTCCCGAGAGATAATAGTGGATCCTCAGATTTCTCGCATTTGCCCGATCGAACGGAAAGCATTTATTGTTTGATCTTCAATCGCGAAACTTGTCGCAGTTGATACGCAATATGAGTGTTATTAATTCTTTGTGGTGTGGCTTTCGAAATAAGATTTTTCGTGAAGAATATTACGTTAGAGCAAATAAGGTCTACGTTACTTTACGTTACGTTTATTTTACATTAGAGTAAGATGTTTATCTAGTCGTGAAAGGCAAATCAAAATTAGAAAATAAATTATGAAGTATAATGCGCCGTGAGAAAGAAAAGGTTTGGCTCTCAAACTGAATTAAGAAAATATAGATATGAAAGTCGTAAAATTTTATTCACGATAAAGGTAATAAAAAGTTATGATGAAACTTCTGAACACCGGCTAGAACGAGATGAGATGGCATAGAAATTTTAGACTATTAAGCGTTGCACTACTCATATTTACATGAAAATTTGTATAACTGTAAATTTTAAGAACGGGTTATCATTTATACTCGTCATAGGGCTATCATCTTTAACAGCTATAACACTAACAGAGTTGACATCGAGCTCGTCTAATGAACGTTATAAGTTCTACCTGTCTTGATCGATGGCTTTAAAAATGTGCAGTGAACAGGGTTGCAGTGCGCAGGGTTGCAGTGCGCAGGGTTGCAGTGAGCAGGGTTGCAGTGAGCAGGGTTGCAGTGAGCAGGGTTGCAGTGAGCAGGGTTGCAGTGAGCAGGGTTGCAGTGAGCAGGGTTGCAATGAGCAGGGTTGCAGTGAGCAGTCTACGTTACTCTACGTTACGTTTATTTTACATTAATGTAAGATGTTTGTCTAGTCGTGAAAGGCAAATCAAAATTAGAAAATAAATTATGAAGTTAAATGCACCGTAAGAAAGAAAAGGGCTGACTCTCAAATTAAATTAAGACAATATAGATGTGAAAGTTGTAGAATTTTATTCCCGATAAAGGTAATAAAAAGTTATGCTAAAATTTCTGAACTCCGGCTAGAAAAAAATGAGGTAGCATAGGAATTTTTGACTATTCAGCGTGAATTGCACTACTCGTAGGTATTTAAAAAATAAAATTTAAACTGTAAATTTTAAGAATGTGTGATGTTGAGACGAGCATTTTCGTTTGTTCAACAATAAGGTTAAAATTAACAGTCATCATAGGGTTATCAGCAGGGTTGTAGTGAGCAGGGTTTCAGTCAGCAGGCTTGCAGTGAGCAGGGTTGCCATGGGCAGGGTTGCAGTGAGCAGGGTTGCAGTGAGCAGGGTTGCAGTGAGCAGGGTTGCCATGGGCAGGGTTGCAGTGAGCAGGGTTGCAGTGCGCAGGGTTGCAGTGAGCAGGGTTGCAGTGAGCATGGTTGTAGTGAGCAGGGTTGCAGTGAGCAGGGTTGCAGTGAGCAGGGTTGCAGTGAGCAGGGTTGCTCTTATCGAGCAGTATTTGACATCCGCTTGTCTCGCTCGTTTGTTTGCCTTATGTTCGACAGGAAAGCATGCAAGGCTGATATGAATACTTCACAATTACTGACAAACTTTACGAGGTCGGCGAAACTATGAACGAATTCCAGCAGAGAAGCCAAGACGTGATGTCTTTCGCTGCTTCGTATTTCAAAAAAACTATTTCGAAGCTGATATATTTAGACTGATAATCTAGAAATAGTTCAATAAGTGTTTGCTTTTCAGTTTGTGGAGATGCGGTGTACGGATGCGTTAGGTTTAACTCGAAAGACGAGTGTTGTCTTCGTTTGTGAAGAATTGCATTTGGATCGTTAGCCACGATTTCCATTCTTCCTGTGCATTATTTGCGACAATGCTTTACTTTATCATTATGTATTTTACATATGATTCTTGCATAATGTTGCTCATTAAAAATTAAGCTAAGAATAAACAGCACCTAGGACGTGACTAGGATACTAATTACCGAGTCTTGACTAATCTAACGAGAATGTAAACAAGCTCTGCATGTTATATCAGCTTCAACTTAAAGTTTCATAAAATAGAGAAATGAAAGGAATTTTTTATATATTTGTAATTGATAAATTGAGCAAATTGTATGCATCAGTGGTTCCTAAAAATCTTTATAAAGGTTTAATAGCAGCATAAGAATCCATGCGATATCCTCACTCTGAAGCGCAGGGAGCAGCAGAAAATACATTTACAAATTTGTAGTGAATATCGCAAAATTTGAATGCAGTCCCCTAAAAAAATCGTTATTGAAAACGAATAAAATTGCTGTGACCTCGCGATGGGCCCGCGCAGTTAGAGAGTTGCGGCGTGAGATAACAGTGACTGAGGAGAGGATGTGTTGAGACGACCGCATCCTGTGAGACCAGGCGTCCTGTGAGACGAGGCGTTATGTGAGACGAGGCGTGCTGTGAGACGAGGCGTCCTGTGAAACGAGGCGTCCTGTGAGACGAGGCGTCCTGTGAGACGAGGCGTCCTTTGAGACGAGGCGTCCTGTGAGACGAGGCGTCCTTTGAGACCGTCCTGTGAGACGAGGCGTCATGTGAGACGGTGCGTCCTGTGCGACGAGGTGTCATGTGAGACGAGGCGTCCTGTGAGACGAGGCGTCCTGTGAGACAAGGCGTCCTGTGAGACGAGGCGTCCTGTGAGACGAGGCGTCCTGTGAGACGAGGCGTCATGTGAGACCGTCCTGTGAGACGAGGCGTCCTGTGAGACGAAGCGTCCTGTGAGACGAGGCGTCCTGTAAAACGAGGCGTCCTGTGAGACGAGGCGTCCAGTGAGACGAGGAGTCCTGTGAGACGAGGCGTCCAGTGAGACGAGGAGTCCTGTGAGACGAGGTGTCATGTGAGACGAGGCGTCCAGTGAGACGAGGAGTCCTGTGAGACAAGCGTCCAGTGAGACGAGGCGTCCTGTAAAACGAGGCGTCCTGTGAGACGAGGCGTCATGTGAGACTAGGCGTCCTGAGACGAGGCGTCCGGAGAGACGAGGCGTCCTGTGAGACGAGGCGTCATGTGAGACGAGGCGTCATGTGAGACGAGGTGTCCTGTGAGACGAGGCGTCTTGTGAGACGAGGCGTCTTGTGAGACGAGGCGTCCTGTGAGACAAGGCGTCATGTGAGACGAGGCGTCCTGTGAAACGAGGCGTAATGTGAGACAAGGCGTCTTGTGAGACGAGGCGTCCTGTGAGACAAGGTATCCTGTGAGACGAAGCGTCCTGTGAGACGAAGCGTCCTGTGAGACGAGGTGTAGTCTCCGCATACAGAACACTCCGCCCTCTCCACCTATCACAAGTTGCTGGTTATCCTTGCCGAATTAATTTAGTGAAGTTATTTTCGTTAGAATAAAATTAATACGCAATTTTCCTGCGTTGTTGCGTGACTGAACCCAACATGTAAACCTTGGGTCGGCAATTGCAGTGCAACACAACGCTCCAGTTTAATTTAATGTGTTGACGGTGAAATTATTTAAGAACATCACAAGTGAAGATGATTAAATATTTTGGTTCATCACTAGTGATGATATAATAATAGATGCCAAGAGGTGCTACCTATTGCATTGGCGAGAAGTTAATTAGATGCCAAGAGGTGCTACCTATTGCATTGGCGAGAAGTTAATTAGATGCAAAGAGATGCTACCTATTGCATTGGCGATAAGTTAATTAGATGCCAAGAGGTGCTACCTATTGCATTGGCGATAAGTTAATTAGATGCAAAGAGGTGCTACCTATTGCATTGGCGAGAAGTTAATTAGATGCAAAGAGGTGCTACCTATTGCATTGGCGAGAAGTTAATTAGATGCCAAGAGGTGCTGTGTATTGAATTGGCAAGAAACTAATTGGATTTTATGTTTCGTGAATTCTGCTGCGTGCAATTGCAAGGATTTGCTGTTAGCAACATGGTTATTGAGGCAGAGAAATGAGGTCAGCAATATCGCTCAAATCTTACGAGGGTAAAATGGATATTGAGGCAGAGAAATGAGGTCAGGGATTACGCTCAGATCTTACGTTTGCTCAGCTTAAAGCTTTGCGCCAGAAATATAATTCATAAACTGACTCAATTATCGTTTTATGATTCTATTTCTGTTCAAGAGACCTTCAGGTGCGCTGTTGGAAAAACTATCCTGGTTGACCTAGTCTTTTGAAGAGTATCCTTTGAATTCATGCCAGTGACTTTGAAAAGCTAACTTAATCTTATAACTCTCTTAGAGATCTAATTCCTACTCATACTGAAAAAACACACGTGATAGATGTGTTCTCTAATAAAATTATTTTAAATTTCAGTCGAATGCAAAATTCCTGAGATTTTATTTTAAATGATTATTCATGAATCAAAGAGAATGAAGTAACGACTGCTGAGTGTCAGTAATGGACCAAGCAATGAAATGAAATGAACGAAATGACATCGAATGATATGACAAACACAAAGAAAACGGGATGGATCCCTGATTGGCGGCCATCTCTATTCTCCCTTCTTATACATTCCATTCTTCTGCTGCGCTTAGTTTCAAACAGTTCCAGCATTTCTGAACCATCAAGAATATCTTCAGCTTTACAAGAATCAAGAATGCAACAGACAACACGCAACAATCCCCTTGACCAAAAAGATTATTGTAAAAAGGCCCGATGTCTAGATGTGAGCAGCACAAAAGACTTAAGTCTGGAAATTATCAATGACGTTGATTTTGTGTTCGCTAGCAATGGCAACTGTACAGTGCAAAATCTTACAGTTTGGTTTCCTACTCTATTGCACTGCAGCATCGGCAGCAGCTGCAGTCACCTCAGCTTGATTAGCATGCAAGGTAGGTTGCTGCACTCCAACCAGGAATTAGAAAGCTCACTTCGATCGTAAGAATTCACGATAAATTGTTCGCATCAAATGCTCAGTATTACCTTACTTACATGATATCAAAATGAATAAGCAGAAGTTGTAGTTACAGTCGCAGTATCTATACATCGCGTTACTTATAGACCAGAGATTTGATGTTCAATTTTTATATTGTCGACGACCGTTAGCCATTGACTTGATATTTTTCAGAACTTGATTTCAAGTAATTTATTCATCTGTACTCTTTCGTATTGTTTTAAACTACATAAATCGTTGCAGTTGTCAATTGTCGCTCAAATCGCGCTCGCTTCCCAGGCCCAGACTGGGACCTGTCTCTTATACACATCTAGATGTGTATAAGAGACAGCAACATGGTTCATTTGTGACATCAA